CTGAGGCTGCCCACCCTCTGCCTCCCGAGGCTGCAGACCCCTGTGCTCCATCCCCTTAGCAACCATGTCTTTGCCCTGCTGGTCCCTCTGCCTGGGATCCCCTTCACTGGCTGGTGAAATTCTTCCACACTTCAAGACCCAGATCAAGGCCATGTCCACTGTTCAGGCCACTCCTCCCACCTGGGATTCGCACCTCTGAGCACCCACCACATCCCACGTGCCTTTCCCGAAAGCACAGACCATGCTCCTCAGTTGTTATGGCTGTTGTTATGGGTTGAACTGCGTCCCCCCAAATTCATATGTTGAAGTCCCAATCCCCAGTACCTCAGAGTGTGACTGTATTTGGAGATAGGGTCTTTAAAGTGGTAATTAAGTTAAAATGAGGCCTTTAGGGTGGGTGGGTCCTAAACCAATCTGAGTGTCCTTATAAGAAGAGGAGATGAGGACACAGACACACACAGAGGGAGGACCCTGTGAGGACACAGGGAGAAGGTGGCCGTCGACAAGGCAAGGAGAGAGGCCTCAACAGAAACCAGCCCTGCTGCCACCTTGATCTTGGACTTCCAGCTTCCAGAACTGGGAGAGTATAAATGTCTGTCTAAGCTGCCCAGAATGTGGTACTTTGTTATGTCAGCCCTAGCAGATTAATAGACTCATGAGCAATCCCTCTCCCCTGGGAGATGGTCTGGGTGGGGCTCACAGGCCTGGCCAAAAAAACCACTGTTGCCCTTGGCCACTGTGGTTGGTTTGGGAAGGACACAGGACCAAAGTCAAGCTGTGTTAGCTGGTCCAATCAGGGTGAACCTTAGGACTTTTGCAGGTGCTGCCAGAGAAGGGCTAAGGCTCTTTCCTGCTGGACATGAACCTGGAAGTTGTGGCAATGGAGCTGCAACAGCCATCTTGCTGCCCCAAGAGGCGGCTCTGGAGTTGGCAGAAGTCAACACCACCTTTGGTCCAGGCCAAAGGACCAAATTCTGAAAGTCAGCTCCATCCCTGACTTTCCAGTTACTCAGGCATACATAAATTCCCCTTTTTGCTGGAGTTGGCTTAAATTGGGTTTCAGTTTCTAGCATCTCAGAGGGCCTTGCCTGGTACATGCCCATGGCCTTCTCCTCAGATCTAGGCAGTAAAATCCAGCACACTCAGAAGGAGAGACAGAGCCACGAAGCACAAGGAGAGCTGGGGACCAGAGTGGAGGTTGAGGAGAGGGTGAAAGATGAGCCTCCAGGTCTCAGCATGGGATGGAGAACCTATGCCAGGGGCTACCTGCCCACCCCAACTGCCCTTCCTCTTCAATCAGATCCTTAGCTGGTCTCATGGCCACTATGAATAAAAGACTACATTTCCCAGCTTCCTTTGCAGCTAGCTGTGGCCATGTGACTAAGTTCTAGCCAATGAGATGTAAGCAGAAGTGTGGTTGGAGCTTCTGGGAAGTCTCTTCAAAGGTAGGTGATGTGTCCCACTGTCCAGAGTGTGGACTTGATGGCCAGAGTTCCAAAAGTCAAACACTATGCTCCTGATCCCTCACCCCTACAAGGTGGCCCTTCTTGGCTGGTTATTCCCAGCAAGAGACCACCCCATGGCCAGGAGAGCACTGATGAAGAGTCCAGAAAGCCTAAATTTGAGGCTTGCTTTTTGGTGTCTTTGAGCAGGATATCTGTTTACATGTGAGGAAATCGAGGCTCAGGGGTGAAGTGGCTTCTCAGACTCGCGGGGGTCTCATCTTGACCTCGTCTTCCTCTGCTCCCACCGCCACGACCCTAAAAGCCCCAGGGTAAGGTAACTCCTTCCTAAGTGGCTTTCAGGCTGTGCGTCTCCCTGTATCCTGGCAGCTGAATTCCAAAGCAGATCTCCACTGCTGTCACTCAGGTCCCAGCCACCGTCACCTCCTGCCTGGAAGACCAGACCAGACCAGACTCCTGACTCCCACCCTGGCCCCTCTGTGGTTCACTCTATTCCCAGCAGCCAGAGCAATGCTACTAAATCTGAAGTCGAATCCTGTCACTCCTCTGCTCTCTGTTCCCACAGAAGAAAATCCAAACCCCTGACCTGGCCTGACAGATGTCACACTGTCCAGCTCCTGGCTCCTTCTCTGACCTCTGAGCCTCCCTCTTCCTCCTCTCTTGCTGTACTCCAGCCATACTGGCCTCCTCGCGGTTCCTCAAACCGCCAAATACATTACTGCCTCAGGGCCTTCGCACATGCCATTCCCTTTGCCTGGCATGCTCTTCCCTGAGACATGCCTGTGGCTCACCTCCCTCACAAATCCAGAGGCCTTCCCTGACCACACGGGCTGGAACAGCAGCCTCCAGCCACAGTGAACCCTCAATAAATATTTGGTGAATGCGTGAGTGAATCAATGGATGACTATATTGATAATACAAGGGTGTATCCACCCTTTAATGAATCTTCCAGAATTCCCATTAGGTTGAATCATATGATGTTGCTCTTTGTGAGGGCTAAAGATCATTGAATAGTGGCAATTTCATACGATGTGATTTTACTTTGTCAGTGATGCCCATGCACAAAATTCTCCAATTGCTCCTACCCTAGAAACCGAAACTGCCAAGGCTGACCCCACGTATCTCCTGGCTCTGGCCCCCACTCCCTTCCAGGCCCTGTGTCTGTTGCCCTAGCATCACTACCCCATGGGGTTTTCTTGGCTCCCCACTTTGCTGGAATTTCCTGAGGCCACCTCTGCCTACCCAAGCCCTCCTCTCGCCCCAGCCTCTGCTCCTCCCCCGGGGGATACCGGCAGTGTCCACTGGCAGTATTCCTCCACCTCACCTGCAGTGGATTCCCCAGTTCTACAACTCTGACCTACTGGGGGGCTGCTCGACAGCAGGGGCCGTTCGTCCTGGGACTCCCTTGCGCCGTGGCCCTCCTGCCGCACCCCAGCAGGCACCATTACAGTGCAGCCAGTGGGCTGGCTATTCCGAGACTGCAAGCTGTGCCGGGATCAACCCAGTCCTGGAGACCCTGCCACCCACTTTTGTTGACCTTGGGCAAGGCCTTCTGTTTCCTCATCTGCAACATCTTATATGTCAGCAAAGATACATGTTTAAAATAATGCCAGAGCCCAGGCCTGGGTCCCAGAAATGGGGGGCGGGGGGGGGGGGTTGTGAGCAGAAGGCAGGAAAACCACAGGTGACAACAGGGAGGGCTCACAAGACGGGGACTTCAGTGACCTGAATTGGAGTCCCAGTGTTGATGCCACCTCCCCGTGTGAGGTGGGGCAGTTCCATCCTCTCTCTGGGCCTCAGTTCTCCACCTGGAATGCGAGCCCTGAGGCTGAGGAGAGGGAGAAGAAGGGCAGGTGGTGCAAGTTCTAACCACAAAGATGTTGGACAGGGCCCTGCGGGAGGAGGCCACCACGCACCGTGCCACTTGGCCCCGACCCCGGGATCCTGTTCTGCAGTCCCCTCAGGTGTGAGGAAGAAGGTGACTACAGAAGATGGTGACAAAACAAGATCTGCTGCAGGACTGAGATGATGCTGTTCTTCCTTCCAAGAAGAAAGGGGAAGAAAACATTCAGTGGTGAATGTGGCAGGGGAGCCCCGGCCCTCACAGAGCTGGCATTCCCAGCGGGTGAGGACAGATTCAGACAGTGCCAAGTGCTTGGCTGATGGGATGGAGCTTTGTGGTGAGAGGGGACTTTAGACAGGGGATCAGGGAAGGCTCCAGGGACCTAAAGGCTGGGAGGGAGCCACGCGCACACAGAACAGGAACCTGGGGGTACGGATATGAGGGAGAAGAAAGGCATGGTGCCGAGGCCCTAGAGCAGGACCCAGTGTGGCGTGTTTGGGAAACAGAACAAGGCTGGGTGGGCAAGGCGAGAGGGAAGATGGGAGCAGATGGGGGCAGAGGGCAGCAGTGGCCCAATGAGTTGGGATTTCATTCTGATAGGAGGGGAAGCCTCCGAAGGGTTTTAAGTGGGGAAACTGCGTAATCTGATGTCCATTTACAAAGCCGACCCTGCCTGCAAGAGGGTCTGCAGGATGGCCAGGGGACAGCAGAGCAATGAGGAGAACCTGGGGGCCCAGAGGTGCCAGCTGCATGACCTGAGGGGAGGAAGGAGGGACACGCAGAAGTGACTGGATTTTGGGTGGATCTTTTCAATATCCATTGGATTTGCTGATGTTGGGGCTGAGAGAGAGGGAACTCAGGGATGACCTTAGAGCAGTCCAGCAGGCTGGGAAAACCACTCCAGCCCAAAGAGACCTGAGGCCGACCTGACCTGCACGGAAGTTCACAGCTCAGAAGCAAGCCTGCAGAGTTCCTGACCCCCCAGTCCAGACGCACACAAGCAAGACAAACAACATGGCCTTCCCCACACTAATCGGGGCTTCCCGGCGACCAATCCTCTTTCCACCAGGCTTTTCTCACGATAGCTCTGGAAACCAAATGTGTGGCCCACCACTTCGTGCATGTCTATGTGTGTGTATGTGTGTGCATGCACGTCCAAGCAACACACAATTCCCATAAAACACGAGTTGCAAATTCAAATGCCCACAGGGGCCAGAGGAGTCATATAAAGGTGGATAATAGGGAGTGGTGGGGACTGTGGCAGTGAATGGGCTGCCCGGGGGGCTCGACCTAAAGGAAGCTGTGTTCTTAGCTCTGCCCCATTATAACTATGTGGGCACATGTGAAAGATATTGGTAGATCTGCCAATTTTTCAAAAGAAGCCAGAAATTCATATCTTTAGGTGAAACAGCTGATTTTGAAATTTTGGCTTCAATTTAAAAAAACAACATCAGCACTGTATCAGCCAGTTGGCATTTGGGCACTGGTTTTCAATTTTGCCATAAACGGCTGGGGGTACGGATTCAAACCAGAGAGCTGATCCTCTTCAGGAGACAAGAATTCAAGTCTGGCACCTTCAGGATCCCATATCGGGGGCATTCTAGCATGGGGCAGGTGAAAGGGTCCCAGAGGGCTCCCAAGGGTGTCTTACAGGCCTGTAAGACCCTGCACGGGGTGTCTGGGTGAGCACATACCCACTTTGAGCTCCTTCCCGAAGACGGTGCGCTCCCCTAGCGCCGAGCAGTTCCAGCGGCCGTTGCGGAACTGAAACTGACACTCGTCGAGGCCCATTTGGGAGCCTTCTCCTATGATGATGATGGCGTCGGGCCGGCTCTGGCAGATCGCCCGCTGTCTGGGAGCCAGGCCTGGGATCTTGTTACAGATGATGCTGGCACCCAGAGCTACCACCGAGGAGAAACCACTGGAGCAGGGGACACAGAGAGATGGAGCATTAGCCCAGCAAGGTGGCAGCACGGCCTACAGGCCCTCCCTGGGTATCTGGCCCTGGCCACCCCAGCCTGTTGCTCCCAGCAGAGGTCTCCCAACTTTTTGATACTGCACCCCCAACCCATGTTTATTCATTTATAATTCCACATCAGTACTTGTGCAATGTGTATATTCAACATTAGTGAGGCTTGATCTCCTTTTGGGATACAAAAAAATGACGATGTATGTCACAAACAATGGTGAAAGAACTAAGCAAGTTGCCTTCGTATTTATGGCAGAATTCAACTAAGATGAGGTTTAAAATCATGCAAAATGAGATATTGTCTAGGAATCACCTCTGTGTGGTAAAATTGCAAAGGCAAGCAAGGGAATGAAAACCACCCAGTGTCACAGAGCAATTGCCTCTGAAAGGGTGGTGGGTGCACAGACGTCCATTAAAAAAAAAACAGCTGTTCATACATGTTATATATATTCTCTGGAATGTAAGTAAATGATTTACTATCAAAAAGAAATCTTTAAAAAGCAATTGTAAACAGACGTTCTAGCATTGTCTTCCTGTGTGCCAATGGGGTATGTATAACCCACTCTGGACATGATTGGCCTAGAGGATGCTTCTGACTCTTCAGGTGAGAGTTCCTATCTCCTTAACTCATTTGCTGCACAGATGCATCCTGGACACCTAGCACGTGCCAGGCACCCTGCTGGGAGATGGGTCAGGCCCTGCCCTTGAGGGAGACAATGCACGTGTCACAAATGAATACAACAGGCCATTTCAGACAGTGACGTGCACTATGAAGAAAGTAAACGAAGATGCTGTGATGGCAGCTAGGGGTAGGTTGGTTTGGGAGGGAAGGGAGAGGGGCCACTTTAGTTGAGGTGGCCAAGGAGGGCCTCCCTGAGGAACAACAGTGCAGCGGAGACCTGAATGGCAGGATCCAGCTGTTGGAAGGTCTGGGGAACAGTATTCTGGGCAGAGGGAACAGAAAGTGCAAAGTCCTGGGAGGGGAACAAGTTTGGGATCACCAAGGAGCAGAAGGAATCCACAGAAGCTGACGCAGAACCAATGCTTGAGGAGTGGAGAGTCTCAGAAGAAGAGCTGGCTGAGGGCTAGAATTTTCTCAGGTACATCAGGAAGCACTGAAGGGCTATCAGAAGGATACTGACATGGTCCCATGCTTCAGCCCCAAGGGTGGAAAGGCCTATGGGGTGCCAGAGCGGGAGCAGTGAGAGTGGGCAGGCCAGAGGTGGTGGTGGCTTGGCCTTGGTGGCAGTGGGGGGGGGGGGGGGGGCTGCAGATGGAGCTGACCAAAATTGCTGATGGGGTGATAGACAGGGTGGAGCTGAGGGGAGGGATGAGGAAGGGTTTAAGGGAAAGACAGGCATCAGTGTGACTCGTGGGTATCTGGCCTGAGGGTGCGGCCATTTCCTAATATCAAGACAACCCCAAACAGGCTCCACTGGTAACCCTGATGATGCAGGTAGCCCTCACTTCACAGAAAGATGGGCCCCTTGTCTAGAGCTTTCTTTTATATACGCCTTTAAATGTCATCGAGAGTACCTTTAAAGAGAAGACCTCACTCCTGATGCCTCACTCTGGTTGTAATAATAAGAGCTTCCATTTATTAAGGGCCACGCCAGCCACTGGGCTGAGTGCCTCATGCTTTCCATCCTGGGTTCAGCTATGGGAAGTTGTTCTGGAATTGAGATTTCTTAAAGTGAGACTCCCCGGTACCAACAGCACCAGAGATGAGGGGACCCTGCTCCTCTCCAAGCACATAACTGACCACTCCTGCCCTCTTTCCCTCTGCTGCTGCCTCACACCAGCCCTCTTCCTGACTCGGGCCCTTGGTCCTTGCTGGTCCCTCTCCCTGGAAGCTCTCTCTCCCCCTGAGCTGCACATGCTTGGCTTCTTGCCATTATTCACATGACCTCAAGGGTCACCTCCCTGACCGCCCCAGCTAAGGGAACCTGTCTCCCACCCCACCCCTCCTCTTTCCATCACAATCTCTGTTTTGTTTACTTAATGCTCTTGATGACTCACAGTCCTCTACAATATTTTAATGTATGCATTTGTTTTTAATTTGCTTGCTCACTTGTTTAGTGACTTTCTCATTAGACCATGAGCTCTTTGAAGGCAGGGAGGCTGTCTGCCAGTTCACTAAACAGCTACCAAATGAACGGATTGTGGAGCTTCAAAAGTGTCACCCGGGGTGAGCACCTGTTACATAGCAGGTGCCCCCAAATAGGCGCTGAATGCCTCCGTGAGCTTCTGCAGCATCCCGACTATGTGTCAAGGCAGCCTGGCGGGTACTGCACAAACAGTAGCGCATGCGACCTTTCTAAACAGCCCTGTTGGATGGGAATCACCATATCCATTTCACATATCTGAAAACTAAGGCTCACAGAGACTGATCCCTGGAGGTGAGCAGGTGACAATCTCAAACAGGAGCCGGGGGAGAGCTCTCAGCCCTTCATCTTAGCCATTAAAGGAGAGGCTGATAGAGAGCTAGAACGTTTGAAATGCTTGAGGAAGAGGTGGCAGAGAAAGATTAAGTCAAATGGAGATGTTCTGGCCACAAGTCAGGAGGAACCTCTGAACACCAAGCTGACCACCAGGAAACTCCTACACCAGCAGAGAGTGTAATGATATATTAGGGTCAAAAGTTTATAGGAACAATAGTCTAGCAGCTAAGAGGTCAGGCCTAGGGTGCCATCTAAGCTTCCTTCACCTACTAGCTGTGTGACCTTGGGCAAGTTACATCCCCTCTCTGTACTTCAGCTTTTCCATGGATAAAATGAAGATATTGATAATTAGTCCTCCCCGCATAGGGCTGCTGTGAAAATGAGATGTGTTAGAACATGGAAAGTGCCTAGTAGGTGCCAGGCACACGGCGAGTACTCCATAAATGTGCAGCTGTTGTCGTCATTATTACTACTGGATCTGCTTGTTACTAGGGGCTAGTACTGGAGTCCCTTGGAACTATCCAAATAAAATAGGAATACCAGAGACGCCCTGCCATCAGTCCTCAGCAGGGAGGAACCAGCCACATCTGGGGACCCAGAAGGCCTCTTAGGGACATTGGGCCTTTACCTCTCACGCCCATTTTACAGATGGATAACCCGAGGCCCAGGGAGCAGCAGGGCCTGGCCCCAAATCACCCTGCAACTCCACCTCCGGCCTAGACCTCTCCCCGCCCCGAAGGGCGGCGGCGGCGGCGGGGCGGAAGGCCGGCGCCCTCCGTGGCTCCCTCGCCCCGGGGCAGCTGGGCCCCCGCGGGGCCAATGAGGTCTCGGCGCCGCCAGGAGGTCGGGCGGGCTGGCGGGCAGGGCGGCCAGGGGAGGTTATTTTCTGTTGTTTTCCCTTTTTCTCTTCCCTCCCCGGTCCCTCCGCCCCGCTTCTAATTAAAAAGGAGATAAAGCCACACGCGGCCAGCGCCAATCAGCTCGGCCGGCTTCCTGGATGCTGGATGCGCGCGAGGCGGCGGGGCGCGGGCCAAGATGAAGATTAAAGCAGGGGGGGAAAAAAAACCACCCAGACGCGGGCGAATCAATAACACTTAAAACACACCGGCAGGCAGGCAGCGCGCTAGCCCCGCAGCCGCCGCTGCGTCCGCGCTCGCCGCTCGGCCCGCGGTCGCGGCTGGCGGGCCGCCTCGTCCCCTCCCTGCGCACCTGCTCGCCGCCAGGGCCGGTCAACTTGCGAAAGCCCGGCTCCAGAGCCGCGAGTGGGGAAAGGGGAGAGCGGTAGTGACAAAACACAAAGGACGTGCCACGCACACCCCCTCGCCGCACCCCCGCAGTCCGCCCCTCCCGGAGCGGAGCGGTGGGGAGGTTCCCTGCTGGGGATGGGGCAGCAGGTTGTGTGAAACGTGCCAAGGTGGCCCTTTAGCGCCAGAACCTCTGTCAATCCCTAAAACCCCCCACTCCCCACCCCTCCGTGCTTCACGCGCATTATCTCCTAACTACAAAGAGTGACTGGCCGTGCAAATACACCTCCAAGATGCGCCCCGAGCCACCTCCTCCCACCTTCCAGGCAGAGCGCCGCCCCGGGCCCCACCTCCATAGCAATGCCGGGGTGAAGCGGGGAGGGCTGCTCCGCGGGCGCGCCGGCGGACTCGGGTGCCCAGTCTTAGGGGGCGGGGTGTCCCGCCTCTTTCTGGCGCTGGCTCTGCGAGCTTGTCTCCCTGGGTGTCTCAGGCCATCTCTCGTCCTACCTATTGTGTGTGTTTGCTGGGAGTGGGAGGCGCGGTGCTCTTGGCCTGGGAAAGGGCTCTGGGAGCCCGAGGGTCCTTGGAATTCAGGTGGTGCCAGGGCTCTGAGCAGCGGTTTGTGTTTTTGCCAGCGAATGTCCCTCCCTCTGGGTACCTGTTCCCTGCTGCACGGAGCGGCTCGGCCTGCCACCCGGGGACTGCCCTATCTCTAGGAGCGGCTGTGTCCGCGCCTCTGTGTACAGAGTTCCTCTCGGGCTCTGGGGGCTGAGTTCCCTGGGAGCGGTTGTGGTCCTGGCTCCCGGCTCGGTGTTCCTGCTGGACCTGCTATTCCCATGCCCGGGTCTGAAGGGCCCCTGGGAGAGGCTGACCCTTTCCAGCAGCTAGCCCTCTTCAGAGTTCCCCAAGCCGGAGCGTCCTTACCGGCTGTCTCCGGTTCTGGGGGCTTCCAGAATCGGACGTCCTCAGGTTGGCCGGTTCCCCTGCCCATGTCTCTCGAGCTGTGCGCGCCCCTGGGGCACCCGCCTGCGGGGAGCCTTTGTGCGCCCACTGCTCCCGCACCGCGCCCACCCGCCCTCTCTGAGGGTCCAAGTAAGTTGGTGACCGGCGGCAGCTCCGCAGGCGGTGGGACCTCTCCCCGGGCCACGCCAACTTTGCCGGGACACGCGTGTAGGGGGTACGGCCCTTACCCGATCCGGAGGTAGACCATACCCAGGCTGAGAAAGAGGTGGCCCAGGCAGCGCCGCGCTTTCCGGTTCATAGTCCCCACTGGCCGCGGGGGCCGCGGGCCGGGCTGTGCTGATCCCGCGGGCCAGCCCCGGCGGGGCAATCAACATAGCCCGCCCGGGAGGCGCGGGCCGACGCTTCCCCGGGGCCGTCTGCCCGTGCGCCCGTCCGCGCGGTCGGCTCCTGAGCCTCGCCGGGAGCGCGGGAGCCACGGAGCGGGAGGAGGGAGGGAGGAGCGAGCGCGGCACGGGGCGACGCCGGGCTGCGCGCGAGCGGCCGGTGCAAGTGTGCAAGACGCGGGAGTGCGGGGGCGCTGCAGCCGCCCGCCCCCGCCCCTCCCTCGCGTCTTTCTCCTGTCCC